TTTCACATGAAGGAAATGAAGTGTAAAAATAAAAATGAGGGTCCCACTTTATATTAAGTGGCCTTAACAACTATGTACTTACATTTAAATTAATAATTTGGTACAATGCACTTATTGTGTACATACATGTTTTTACATTGTACTTATATTTTAAAAATACCTGCATGTAATTACATCTGTAATTAATTTCTGTAATTACATTTATAATTACACTGTTGACCCATCCCTTACACCTTAACCCACTCTTAAACCTACCCATACCAACAAACCTGTCCCTAACCTTACCCATATCCCACCTCAATAGCAGCAAAAGTGCTTTGCAATACAATATGAACACAATATGTACATTGTACTTAATTATTGATGTAAGTACATAGTAGTTAAGGCCACTTAATATAAAGTGGGGCCAAAAAATGCCTTCTAAATCATAGGAAGAAATGTTAAAAAGTCTTAAAACTGAACATGAACATTCGCCAGGATTATATCAGATACTATTAATTGAGCTGTTGAACATAGAGGCATCTTTCAGCATAACATGAGGGGCTAAGTGTTAGCTCTTGTAATAAGAAAGATTGAAGTTTAATTTCAGTGCCTCAGAGAGATTTCACAACATAAGGAATGTGTTACATGTCATAGATTATTATAAGAAACTTTCTTTTTATGACAGATATAGTTTAACTGCTTCATTTTGCTTAATTGGAACTTGTTTGTGGTCACAATTTTTCCTCCCACGAGTTTGTGTTTTAAAAAAAAAGCCTTCTAAACCTTAAGCAAGTACAGCCATGTTATCAGGGAGGCTCAAATGAAGTGGAAAACACTCTAAATCTATAGGGACGTGACAGCCAGTGTTTGCGTGTGTGTTTTCTTCAAGCTTCAGAACTGCACTTGCAGAGTGGGTTGGAGAAAGAGATCTTGTTTTCCTTTGAGATGGAGACCTGAATAGCACACACAAGCAAAGACAGGCCCAGATGAACAAATGAAAACCACTGACTCTATCCATTTATAAAGAGCAATTCTTCAGCACAGGATCATTATGATGAGACATTATGACGGACATTTCTTCCATTATGATTTGTTGGTTGCCTTCTCTCCTCTGGTACCTTTTTTAATGTATTGCTTAAGCAGAAGATTAAAGTATTACTTAGGTCCTCTGGTCCCAAGCCTCGGTCAAATCATTGCATATCAAAACTATAACTGCAGGCAGTAAAAATGAGTACAGAGCAATAAAACAGTCCACAGATTTCATTGTAAATCACCGGTATGTCTT